GATTACTTAAGCCAAGCTATAAAAGCATACGTACAACTCTGTTTAAGAGGCTGAATTATCAGGTGTCCTACTTGGCTTCTCTGTTGCTGTGCTAAGGACCATGAACTTGGGGAGGAAAGGGTTTTGTACATCTTCCATTTCCAAATGACAGTCCATCATTGAGGGAAGCCAAGGCAGAAACTCAAACAATACAGGAACCTAGAGGCAGGAACTAAAGCAGAGGAACACTGCCTCCTGGCTTGTTCCTCATGGGTTGCTCAGCCTGCATGTTGATACTACCCAGGACCACCTGCCCAGGGCTGGCACCACTCACAGTGGGCTGGGGCCTCCCACATCAATTATTAATCCAGAAAACGCCCCACAGGCCACAGGCCAATCTAACAAAAGCATTCTTTTTTCAGTTGAGGGTCCCTTTTCCCAGATGACCCTGGCTTGTGTCAAACTGACAAAAATGTAACCAGTGCGCCAGTAATCTCACAGTTTACAGCATCCACCAGTGACCAATAATCTCATGGCTTACAGCACCCACCAGTGACCAATAATCTCATGGTTCACAGCACCCATAGTTGCCCATAGGGAGAACCCAACTGGTACTACACACTGTCCTGTTTCCTCTTTTATCCTCTGTCCTGGGACATTATGTCACTGGCCATTGTTTATGAAGCCACTACTAGCTCAATTTTATTCTCAACTCTCCATCTAAAAATAAACGGTACAAGCAAACAACGAATCGGCAGAGATCATTTTGAAACGGGAGGGCGTTTAAAACCCAACAATAAACTGCACGCTATGGCAAAAGAAGATTGTGCTGACTTTTGCATAGTCACAAAACCCAGAACAGATTCTTCAAAGAACTCTCTGGGAGCTGACAAGCTTATAAAAGCAGTCCTAAGGAAAAAAAATTCTGTATCTTGCATATAGAGCAAAGTTACAGCGTGTCACTAGCAATATAAATCGTCACTATTACCACTCGGAGCAGAAGGAAATGTACATATATAAAGATATATATGTGCATAATTTTGTATTCCCAGAGGAAACTGAAAAATTATGTGCATTAAATAGCGTTTTAATTGCAACATGAAAAACGATATTTAATGGCTGGTAATGTGGCTCGCAGTCCCACAAGGGTAAAGTCAAGCGAAAATGCTGCCTGATATAATGGGGAAAAATTGGCCTTTGGGCCTGAGCAGAAATTCTGACTTTCACCTCTATTCTCTCTCACTCAATCATCATGAAACTCAGTTTCCCTATCAGTAAAATAGAAATATCATATACGCATTTATAGAGTTTAGAGAATTAAAGGGAGATAAAAGCTAAAATGATGTCACAATGCCAACTTACCAAGCTAAATGTGGAGAATTATTCTTCCATGATGGGTTATTATACTGGCCAATATCAGTTCAGAAGCTGAAAAGACTCAAATTCAATAAGTATATTTTCAGTTCTCAAATTCTATGATTATCTGAAGATTTATGAAATTGTGATTTAAAATCTCTGAAAAACAGCAGGTGGAACAATATTCAGCTGTCCTTGGATTGAAACATCTCACCTCCCAAGGAAACTCCGTAAGAAAGATAGTAAATGACTCAAAATACATTCAGGAAGTCCCTGAAACTGATCAGATTCACTAGATCCCGCCCTCTCTAGAGTAAAAAATAAAGGCTGCTTGAAAATTACTCTCAGACAAACCAAGCAGCCCTGAAAACGCAGAGACCAAACAAGCAGCCCCAAAGAAGCAGAAACCAGCTGAACTACTTTACAGGGTCTTAGGCCATCTGAGCTACCTGGACAGGACACTTTCCAACCTGTTGAGTGCCTGCAGGCTGTGTAGTGAGTTCCAGATTCCCAGCTTTTGTGAGCTGCTATCCATGCTGGGGTGGGTTTTAGTGATGCACCTGTCTCTGAGTCATTTCTGTACTTATAAGTAATCCCTTACCACATTCTTGTAAGTAACCGCAATAAAACTCATTGGTTCACCAAACTGGAATTTGGTAATATCCGTACTTGGGTCTGTCGTGGGCAGTAGACATGCGTATTATATCTCCCCAAGGAAAGTCTTGACACACAACAACAAACATGCAGGAGCTCTTACAGCCTTTGCCTCACAAAGCCATAAGTGTTCTTACATACCATTTCATTACTTTAAATGCATATCACACTTTCCATCCTGCTTGGAAGATCCAGTTCAACTATTTCTCATTTGCAAAACCTTCATATCTGTTCTAGCCTGCAGGATGGTTTCTAGCTAAGAAAATCATGAAGCTTGTTTGTAAGATACAAGGCTGACCTCCTTGGAGGCTTTGGAGATGGCTTAGTGGGTAAATTCCTCGCTGGGCAAGCACGAGGACCCAAGCTCAGATCCTCAGCACTCAGGTAAAAGCTGGGAACAGTGGGGTGCATCTCTAACCAGAGTTCTTAGAACAGGATCCAAGACAAGGACTGGTGAAGGTTGCTAGACAACCAGCCTAGACCAATCAGTAAGCTCCAGGTTCAATAAGAGACGCTGCCTCAAAAAACTATGGTGAGGAATGACTGAGGAAGACATTTGAGCACATGCATAAATGACAACATGCGTGTACCTAAGCTTATTAATACACAACACACACACACACACACACACACGCACACCAAAAAAACCAAATCCAAACAAACAAAAAACCTGTACTACTATCCTTTTTCAGAACTAGGCAGAAAAAGTTCCAATCCTTGCTTGGAAATGGATTTAAGCTCTCTACGAGATTTACAGACATTACAGGCAAGGCACTGCCAATTAAAAATATTATTTCTTTTCTACAAACAGAATTTTCATTTCCATTGTGAAAATTTATCAAAGTGAGTAAGCTTTCGCTCAATTAATTTCCCATTTGGAGGCCATGAGAACTCTAGTTTCGGCAACTAATGCTTTCTGTTGTTCAGTGCACACATTCCCTTCCCTTAAGCATGCTGTAGCAATGTGATCCACTGGCTCCGTCTGGCGAAGAGGAAATGACTTCACTTACTCCTTCCTCAAGACCCACCACCTTGCCTCTCTCCATCCCTTCTGTGCTGGGAAGACAAGCACACACCATTCAGAGTTCCCTTCCCAATGGCTCAGGTTTGGCTTGGCCAACAGCACCGGCTCACAGATTGCCAGGCGGTCAGTAGCAAAGCCTGGCTGGGGATCGATCCCCATTGTGGCGCGCCCCCTGACCAGCAGGGGAAGAAAGACCACCGACACGAGGATTCTTCTCTGATCACGCTTTTAGTGAAGCTTGCTTGGTTGAGGGAGAGCTGGAAGTGAGGGGCCCCGAGCTGGGAGGAGTGGCGGCTTATATGCAGGCTGAAAAGATGTTCCCCCCTAACAGGACACTAGTCAGGCTAGGATTGGTGCAAAGCTGTTGCTAGGCAGACTAAGGCAAGACTCGCGCCAGAAATAGAATTGCTTATCTTGTTTACCACGCTTCTCAGTGCCATCTTGTAATGGCGGATCTCAAACACGTGTGGATCCCCACACCCCATGACTACTTACTTCCCTTATACCACTATGTCTATTACTGCCTACCAGGGGGCACGCCACACCTCGCACTTCTTAGAGGCTAATAACCATTTGCCCTTATCCTCTAGGCCTGAGTTATGATGGAAATGGCTCTTCTCTGCAGCTAACTCTAGAGTCTGGTATTATTGTTGAGGGCTTCCTGGGCCATTGTGAATGGCGCCTTGTTAACTTTCGGAAACAGCAGCAGTCGATTGTGTCGTCTGGTTCCTGCCAGAACTCCAAATGAATCCTGAATCCAGTCTCTAGACACCAGGACGAGACCCACTCTGGCCACCACTGCCCTTTGCTGTAGCAGAGCGATCACCGGAAACGCTGTAGTGCATGAAGTCTCGTTACCAGTAATGAGGAAGAACTATGCTCTCTCCATCTGTGAGGAGTCAACACCTGGCTAATACAGCAAATCAATCAATAAGAACCCGAAAACACCACTGGGTCCTTATCAGAAGATCAATGTAGCTGAGTATTTTATAACCTCATTCAAATATTACAACCTCAACAAAATTTAGTGATTCCTAACCCGACCATCTTGAAGTGTATCATGGACTAAGCAGAACGAGGTGAGCAACATAGGACAAAATACCTTAGGAAAATGAACACAGACAGCTATTAACATAGCAATGAAGTCATGAAGCCACATACATCCAGAGGTGCTCCTTCTTGTTGCATTACACACATACAGATATGTATATGTGCTTATACATATCTGCATGGAAACAAGTCTATCTGAATGTAACCAATCCACGGACTACTGAAACCTCTATAATTGAGTTGTCTTATGCTCTACAATTTCTTTCCTAAGGCATCCTATTTTATAAACTAACACTGGATTTTTCTCTTGACATTAGGTTTCTCTCCAATTAAGAACCTTCTTCCAAAGTGTCTGTTTTTGTTTGGATCACAAGAGTCCACCAATGGCTTATGTAATGAAGTCACCAATATAACAATGTTCAGTGGTTGAACTTTGGGGAAGTGACTGATCACTTCTGTCCCCACCACTGGATTGGTCCATTGATGACTTACACTTTGATGGACACTTGGGAGATTTTGGAAGCTTGAAGAGAGTGCATCCTTGAGCACTGTCTTTGGGGACCATGTCTTGTCCCTGGCCCATCCTTTTCATCATCTCTAATCTCTGATTTTTGGCCATGAGGAGGTAAGCAACTCTGCGACTCCTCATGATGTTGTGCCTTATCATGGTGCAGAAGCAGCAAAACCACTCTACATGGACCGGAGCCTCCGAAATCACCAAGCAAAATAAATCCTTCTTTAAGTTGATCTCTGCCCTCCGCCCCGGTGTTTTGCCACAGGAAGCTGAACAACATGCTTTCTCACTCTTCCCATGGCATCTCACCTTCCACACCCAAAGGCTCCCCCCATCCTCCACCAGGACAATGTTCTCAGGAGACTCATTCGCCCAAGTAAAGGGAACTGCTCTACTTCACCTTCCTTGTGTACTTGAACTCACCTTTCTTAATCAAGTCTTCCTCCTCCTCTTCTCTTCCCCGCTGCTCTCATTCAAGGTCGCTTAGCAAAATAAAACAAACAAAAAAGTTGAGCTTACAATGCACATTCAGATCTCATCCATATTCTACACCAATGGTCAGGAAACTGGTCCATTCCCTTGACTCTAAACTAGAGCAGTTCCCATCTACCCTTTAGTAGTTGGGCTCGAACGACAGGAGAGTATCCCAACCCAAAGGCCTTGAAGCCTCAAATTAGCACATTCACTACACGCTATGATTCATCCCTAAAGAACATTCCGGCCTGCCACTAATGATCTCTCCACACATGGCTGTGAGGTAAGCATGATGTGGTCATCGCCAAGGTGTGAGGAACTGGAGCTGGGGAGGTCACAGGCTGTGCTAAAGTTATTAAGGATGCTGACAGGGGAACTATGTCATCGTACAAGAATCTGGCTCAGCGTCTCTGCCCGCTCTAGAATCTAGACCTATTTACCACATATTGTTCACTTATTCCTTCCTGAACTTTGTTGAAGGTGCAGGCAGAGTCCAGCAGATAGGAGCGTGTCAACAAAGGATCATGCTCGACTCCGGCAGTGCCGTTTCTACACTCACCCAGCATCACGTCACCAGCCCAGACCTTCTCCAGGAAGACGTCTAACTGGAGAGCTTTGGTCCTGTCTTTCGGAAACAAGGCTGAGAACGACACACCCTCCCCCAGCTCACTCTCAGATCTTCAGAGCCACCGGTGGGCAGGCAGTCTTGGGGCTCCATGTCACTGGATGCTGAGCCTGTAACCTACTCAAAGCAGCAACACAGTGGCAGAGCCTTCCTGACACACCTGGTCAGGGCCCTGCTCTGCGGCACACGCTGGTCTCTAGAAAATATTTCAACTTTCTCTAGTGTCAGCCTTTCTGGTTCTGCAGAAGGAGAACCAGGGTAAGCCAGTGCCCAGAGAGAAGCAAGTGTCAAGCTCCAAGGCCAGGTCTGTTTTCTCCAGTTGATTCCTCATCACCCTCTACTGCTCCAAGTTCTTCCTTTCCTATTCTCTAGAGCAGAGAAACTTTTCCTACTCATGGTCCCCTCTGTCTGAGAAACTCTTGGGCATTCCCAGGTGTGTAAAAGAGGTGTATAAATCTAACTGACTCATAAAAATCTAACCAACTCACAATAAGTCAAAACAAATTTTATATTAAAGTAACTCTTTGACATACATATGATTTTGCTGTTAAAATGGAAAGTACATTTGCATACTAATGAGATGGATAAACTTGGTCATTTTTACATGAACAATTAAATTTTGGGCTGGTGTGATAGCCTTCTGGCTAAAGATGCCCACTGCAAAGACTGACGATCTGAGTACAATCCTGAGAACATACATGGTAGAAGAAGAGAGTTATTTTCTGACCTCTGGATAAGTGTCACTGTTATGATACAACATGAGATGGGACCTTGGATGATTGGTCCAAACCACAGAGGGTGAGGGACAAACATGCCATGCAGACCAAGCTTACATAGGGAGTCTTATTAGGGGAAGGGTAGGGAGAGGGGAGTGAGAAAGGAAGCGCAGAGCTGCCTCGTGGGAAGAGAAAGAGAGAGAGAAAGAGCAAAAGGAAGAAGAGGAAGAAATAGGCAGAGTTCCACCTTTTAAAGGGGTTGGTCCCCAAGGGGTGGGGCCAGGTGTGCCTGGATGGTAACAATCACGTCATGTGAGTGCCTCCCCACCCAAAATAAATATCAAAAGAAACTTCTAAAATGATTCAGTTTTGGCTGAATATTTGATTCTGCAGGACACGAGGCTCGTCTACACCATTTGTAGTTGACTGGTATTGATTTTATATTAGTCAGTGCTGAGACGGCCACTTTGCGTTAATGTGCTGTACAAAATGCAGAAGCAATGTTTGTGGCCGTTTTGGAAATTGTTGGAAATTCCATCCTCGTTCCAAGTCAAAATGCATTTCACAATATTTCTATGGAGCTCAAGTCAGCAACACAATTTGCAAGTCTTAAAATCCAACATCATAACACAATTGAACTCAAAGATACACTACATCAATACTTATGCGCTGAGACATGATGGTAGGAAAATATTAAAGTTCCTTGTTTTCACAACTAAAACATGTTTTTAATAAGAGCAGAAAACTGTGTTGACAGTAAAAACACTGCAGTTCACAGCATAACACTGTCTTAATCCGAGCTGACTGTTCCAAAAGGCAATACTCGATGGCATGCAGGGTGTAGGTATGCATGGTGCAAAGAATGCAAGCTGTATGTGCAGAACCAAGATTGCAGTGAAGCTGCGTGGTGCAACACAGATGAGCACTGCAGAAATACCCTGGATGAATTATGCATTATGAATTAATCAAGCTTAGGTTCTTACACGCTCAAAATCCTTCACTCCTGCCAGCGTTGTCAGGAGCCCACATGCTATCGCGACTCACAATTTAAGAAGCTGTTCAGTAGCATCTGCTTTTGCTGGTCCTTTCCTTCGGGAGCACACTCGCACACATGCCAACTCCCGCTCCTACGCTGTTGCTTGCTACATTTCCAGCCTGAGGAAGCAGTTTGTAAATCGTTTTCCACCACCTTTATACAGCATGGATTGAATAGCACCTTACTGCTTCATTTAGGTAGTAGTCCTAATAATCATTAAAAATGCCCTAACATTTCAATAATTCAAATAGTGCCGTACTATAAGTAGAGAGACATACAGTATAGAATAGAAAGTCCAGAAATAAACTTCAATATACTGGCAAGGTAAAACCGACTTTAAAAAGTTAAGTTGGGCTGGAGAGATGGCTCAGAGGTTAAGAGCACTGACTGTTCTTCCAGAGGTCCTGTGTTCAATTCCCAGCAACCGCATGGCGGCTCACACCTATCTACAATGAGATCTGATGTCTTCTTCTGGCCTGCAGGCATGCATGCAGACAGAAACACTGTATACTAAATAAATAAATCTTTAAAAAAAAAAAAGTTAAGTTGGGACAACAGAATGGATAGAAATAAAATCCGAAGCTATGAAATTCCAGAGGAAAATATACAAAGTGGCATCAGATGATCTTGGGAATTCTTACCATAATAATGTTATGAAGTATGTTCTTTAAAAACATCCTTTTATGTTATTAACATAAATTGATACACTTAGGAAGTAAATCGTACAACGTCTGGAATTCGTGCATTAATATTCTCAATATGAGTGGGCCAACAGATCAGACTGGGCAATATTTCAGATTACTAATACTGGATGGTGGACGCCCGGCATGTGCTCTACAACTCCCTCTAATTGGTGCACGTCGGAAATGTCTTCATCATTTCTAAGCAGCATAAGAAACTGAGAATGGCGAGCGCAGGGTGGGGAACGGTCCTTCCAGCTATGATTCAAAACATAGGAGAGGGAGAACTAAAGTTCCAGCGATTCAGTCATGCTTTTTAAAACGTTCCATTTACAAAATACATATGCCATAAGCAAAGTCAAGACCCAGGTAACAGCCTGGGGGAAAGTATGTTCAACTCAAATCACAGACAAAAACTCAGATAATTTTGCTAGTACGGAAGGAAGCAACTACGAGCAGTCCTTAGGAAAGCAATGAGCAACAAATAGAAAAAAACTGTCAAAGGACATAAATATTTTATAGAGCATAAATAAAACAGTCATTAAACATCATAAGAACAGCTGAGTGCATTTACAAACAGGAGAAATGAAAATTAAAATTATTTTCTGATTTTTCTAGATTTGGGTCAACGTGCTTGTTAAAGCTCCCTTCTGAGGAACCACAAAAGTTAGGCCTTTCCACGCGCTGCTGATGGGATGCCAGCTATTAAAGAACATTCACAACAGTCTTCAAACTTCAGGTACATTTACCCTTGATGCCAAACCCTAATTCTGGGCATTTCTTCCTGCACATAGACCTGCATCCATGCACAGCAATTTGTTTCCCATATAAAAATTGCCAGGCGTGGCAGTGCAAGCTTATAATTCTAGCGCTGAGGGGGCAGAGGCAGAAGGATCCCTGGGACTCACTAGCTGGGCACCCTAGCCTACTCAATGAGATTCAGGCCAATGAGAGATCTTGTTTCAAAAGGAGGTAAATGGCCTTCCTTGTCCTCTGGCTTCTACATCCTGCACTTGAATACACACATACACTAAGAAAAAAAGCCATGCCTCATCCAGCCTTGGTGGAGGAGGAGGTGCCTGGTCTTGCTGTGGCTTTATATGCCACGGTTGGCTGATATCCATGGGATGCTCACCTGTATCTGAAGAGAAACAGCGGAGGAGAAGGGGATGTGGGGAAGGTTGAAAGGAGGGGAAGGAGAGGAAGCTTTGGTAGCAATGTAAAAACACAAAAAATAAATTTAAAAGAAAAAGAAAAAAATCCAAGCAGAGGATTAAAAACTAGCGTTTTTGTTTTATTTTGTTTTGTTTTAGCTTCAGAGTACATCGCTTGGCAGTGGGTGTGAGGGAAACCAGCAATTCAGCATCCTTATTTCTCTCTGCAAAGCTGGTTGGTAATATTCCCTGACAATTTGCTGAAAAACATTCACAGCTGTGCGAAATGAGAACATTTGGTGTGTAGGTAAGGTGAGAAGCTGCTGGGAAAATATCCTCTTCTCTCAGAGCAGGCGGGCGAACCCACGTCAGCGTTAATACTGCTGACTCAGCACCAGCTACCTCTTGGCTACAGACCCATAGGGGCTACTGTTCATTTCCAACATCCATTTCTGTCTAGTTCCCACTCCAGACCCATTTCATGTGTAGAAGGGCTCATCTAAAGTGTATATAAAAGATAATCACTGCATCCTGTAAGACTAGAAGCATAATTGCCATGAACAGTATCTAATCCGCACAAGATAATTAAATTATCCCATTATCACATTATATGGGCAAATGCAAAAAACAATTGTCTTCCATCTTCATTGGCCCATATTGTTTCAATATCCCTAAAAGCGTGGGGAGTGTTGGTGTTCTTATGTGAATGTATAAAGAGTAGGCGAAGTCCTGAACTAAATGTGGATTATTAAGGACCAATTCCCCAGACAAAGCATTCCTCTGTTCCAACTACAGGTGTTCAGCTGACCACTGAATGCAGAAACTGGCAAGTGCAGATCCTTCCTCCCAGGGACACAAAACACCAAGTTGTAGCTGAGGCAATGGGAACGTATTTAGCTTGTTCACAGAGATCTCCTGCCAAAGCCGGTCCCACCCCTGCTTCTCCAGCTCTGCATAATAAACACTGCCCTCCATCACAGTGGGCACACCCCATCCAATCCCAGCTTTCTTGTCTGCGTGTCTGCCCTTTCTTCATTCTTCCATCACCCCAGTCAGGTTTTCCGGACTAAACCATGCTGGTCATGGCATCAAAGAGTGATGTATTGGAGGCTTCTTGACATATCAGAAGTAGCTCAGATCTCTTCTGTCTGTAGTTGAGAGCTTCTGAGATCCACTTTTGCAGGCAAGAGGAGGAGGCTTGAAATCCTTCACCTGGACCCTCAGCAAAAAGACTCCATATCCAAAGTCTGCCCTAAAGGAAAGGCTGCATTGGTGCTTTGGACACACGTAGTCGGGGTGAGAAGACCTCTTTTCAGCTTAGTGAGCTAGTTAGACAGGATTCCAATATGTCAGCCGTTTCTCAGCATGAGGGCATAACTTTGGACAGCTTACTGTGCCTCAGTTTCCCCCTTGTAAAAATGGTATAATAATAAAAATAGTGAGTAACACCACCAGCACCAATAATAATAATAAATTAACTCTGAGAGCAAGTTAATTTTTCCCCCAAACACTTAGAATCATGACAAGGAGACAGGAAGACCTCAGTAACGCTCACTTCTCACATGCAGCGTCTTGGAAAGGGACTATGTGTAAGACTGTCAGGAGCCAGTCACGCAGGATTACCTCCCGAAAAGTTTGGGAATGCATTCCCTGTCACCATTTCCTTAGGCTAATTAGCTGTGGTACAGAATGGAAATTACTGAACTTCATAACTTTATCAGTGTTGAGTGATTTACACCATCCTGAAGCCAGGAGGTCCCAGAACTGCATTCCTTTCTTTGGCGAATCTGTAGGTCTCCCCTCAAAGGTATCATTTGTTCATCACGTCCTGTCGGAGCCCTGACTTAGGGCTGGGGTGAGGGAGAGAATGGCCATTCTTTGCCCTTCCTTACTTTCCCTGGTGCAAAGGTTTGGAGAGCAGAGGAGCGGAAGAGGGAAGTGCACACAGTAGGCCAATGCAACCTGCCCACAGCTGCACAAGGAGGCTCAGAGGACACAGGTAGGGCCTGTTACAGATCCACAGCGAGTGGATAGCTCTGGGTAGCGGTTAGACTCCAGAACTAGCCCCAGTCTCCACCATGCATGTGGTATGGAACGCACGGCCCAGAAGAAGATGGGAGACAGCAATGACTGTAGGCAGCCATTCCAGTGTGAGCCCATCTGCACATTCTGTACACAGGAACTGGGATGCTGTCCCCAGGAAGGCACAACCATGGGGCAGGACATCCCCAGATCACCTGCTTGTAGGGAAGAAAGTGGAGCCGATGTCTCTGCCCCAGTAGGAAAGGAACAGTATTGGTTTCTCGGACAGAAGTCTGGGAGTTCTACCTTTGCCCACTGCAAACAACCACTTCTGCTTCCCTCCTTTCAAGTAGAAATTTTAGAGATTTCCTAAAACAATCTAATCCATGCCTGTAGGTGCTCCAAATGCACGTATCCAAATTTTAAGCAATATTTAGCAGCCGGCTACTATGTGCCAGACACCATTGTATTCATAGCTGGGACATTTCATGAAACAGGGCCTCCTGCCCTCCCCAGATCTTACTTTGCAATACTTTGATAACGATTTCCCCCACCTCCTCATGCACAGTAACTCCCCTTTAAAGCATTTATGGAGGGTTCCTATGGGTCAGGCACCCAAGACAATTAATTCTTGCAACTCTCATAGCTCAGTGAGGTGGGGACTATTATTATCCCCTCTTCACAGATGAGGAGTCTGAAGTTCAAAGAGAGGACACAACTTGCCCAGGGTTTGTGACTCTCCCTGTGAGTCAGGGAGAAATGTGAAATTCAGGAGTCAGGTCCACACCCCTCCATTTTAATTCCCCCGTGACACTGCTTTCCAAATTCCTTCCTCTGGTGTCCTGGGAAGAAGCGGTTTGTTTGGAATGGGCTGCTCTGTGTTTTTCTTTGTTTGTCTAACACGATTCCATCATCATTTGTACAATCCCTTCTCCCATCTAGACAATGGGAGTTTAAAAACAATTGTGTCAAGTCGTGGGGCTGCGGCACAGCAGGCTAGGAAACGGGGCCGTTTGGACATAAATATTTAAATACATGCCATACACCCATTTAGTGCATTATTCACATTCCGGGCTTCTATAAAAGAGGTTTCCAGAACTTACCAGCTGCTTCCTTTTGTGAACTCAATGATTCTCATCCAAGCAGGCCTCTCAGGAGCCATTCTCCACACCAGCCACTTTAGGCTGGCACCTGGTCGCCGACGTCATTGGCCTTTCCCTCGGTCACCCTCACACTGGCAAAGGAAGAGAAGCCGTTTGGATTTCCACTCTCCAGTGTCTTTCTTTTGCCTCCTCTCCTCACAAGCCTGGCATCCTGAGTCCCTCTAAACTCTAAGCAAAACCATAGTTCAGTGACAGGAGAATGACTAAACCCAATCTGAAGGGGTTCCTGGAGTCACTGCAATTGTTCTAATCAGGGGTATGTCCTCAGCCCACAGGAGGCCAGGCTAGCCCACAGGAGGCCAGGCTAGCCCACAGTGCTCAGATCTGTGGGTGAGTCAGCAGAAAGCAACTAAGCCTGCTGTTTACCAAGTGCAGGGAGATAAAGAAGTTCCTACTCTGGGCTTTAGGTCCTTGGTATTCTCCTCGATAGTCTCTGTAATCGATCAACTGGTGGAGGGTAGGGGAGCTTGCAGTTAACTCCAGAATCCTCTAGAGCCCACACAACAGTTCCAGGGCACGTCTCCATCTCCTTCAGTGGAAAGAAGAAAAGATGCGGAAGAGGAGATGTAGCCGGCCATAAAGAGGCCTCTTTACATCGAAAGTTTCTCATCCCTGCAATAGGCCTGGCATGGAACAAAGCTCCAGATGTTTGTGGGATGAAGACATGAGGTGTGACAGAAATGTCACATTTTCTTCCGAGGAGCACTTAGAACAAATGCATGCATCAGGACACCCATCCCATGCGCTGTGCTCCAGTGAGGCCTGACCATGGAGCACACTAAACCACACGACCAGGGCTCCAGAAGATACTGAGGGAACACTTATCTGGTTTCTCACCATTAACTTGAGGCGGGAAAAGTTTGCAAGGAAATGGAAGTTGAAGGTGCAAAAGTAGCAAGGGGATGTCAGAGCCAGAAAACAGCAACCGCAGCAACCACTGTCAACCAATAATCTCACTGGTTATGAAATCCATCAAGAGGAATCCCAGAGGCTTGAAAATTTAATCCGTAATGAAGCATGAAATGTGCAGTAGGCAGCAGGATACGAAACAATGCAGTGCTTAGTGTTAGCTTTCTACAGCTCTGAGCGGGAGCTGCATGGAGGAAGCCAGGAGCTGTTCCGATGCTCCTTAGGGGATTTCGGCTCTCTCTCCGGTCCCTTGGGAAAAGGGCTGGGGAGGTGAAGCATGGGCCTTGAACTGTGGAAACCCTAGGTTCTATCCTTGGAGCTGAGAGGGGAAAAAAGGACAGATCAAAGAAAACAGTCAGGTTCCGCAAATCCTTGGTGGTCACACACTGATGACGTCATGTGTCTTAGTTAGGGATTCTGTTGCTGAAGAGAGACGCCATGATCTCAGCAACTCTTATTAAAGAAAGCATTTAACTAGGGCTATTTTACATTCTGAGGTTTAGTCCATTATAGTGATGACGGGAAGCATGGCGGCACACAGGAAGACATGGTTCTACATCCAGATCTGGAAGGCAGCAGGATAAGAGAGAGAGAGAGACACTCGGCCTGGCTTGAGCATTTGAAATCCTAAACCCATCCCCAGTGACACACTTCCTCCAACAGAGCCACACCTCCTAATAGTGTCAATCCCATGCATGCCGTTGACTTGCTGCTTTGTGAGCAATTGTCCTGCACATTGGATTCAAAGTGTGGTATTTTGAAATCATCCATCCAAGTTTATCTTTAGGACTTTTTGTTGGTGGAAAAAAGCATTGATTGACTATGTCTTTAAAAGTAAAATACCCGAGCACAATACATTTAAGTGTGTGTGTGTGTGTGTGTGTGTGTGTGTGTGTGTGTATAAGCATGCTTATATAGACATATACTGCTTTCTCTTTTATGAATTTATCCTTTCAATTTTTAAAAAACCTTTACATTTACTTATTTGTTTTGTGTCTGTGAGTGTGCACATGCACACACCACAACACATGTGCGAGGCTCACTGGCAGGCACCTTTCCCTGCTGAGACATTTTCCCCTTTTGCTCATTTAATAAACATTCTTGAACACCTACTGTATATCATATACCCTGTAGTATATACAGAAGTATAGATAGAAGGAACTAGCAATGAAACCTTTGGTCCGGTATGGTTTATGCCCTTAAGAGATTCAAATACCAAGATGAAGGCCATGTGCGTGGGAGTCTGCTGTCGGGTCAACAGAGTAGTACCACCTCACTGCCCACTCTCTGAAGTCTCTGGAGTAGGCAGGGAAGCATTTGACAGACACTGCCCTCAGGCAGGAATGGCCCCCCAAATGAGAACATCTGCAGAGAAGACATCCACACACGGTACAGATGGACCAAGGAGAGGAAAGGGTCGGGAAAGAGATTCCTTTCTGAAACGCATGAAAGGAAGATCCTAGAGATCAATTTCCGCTAAACAAATCCAGATAAGTACTCCCTGTGTGCCAGTGCTATGAAAACAGCCACAGAGATTTTTACACATAAGGAACATTTGACTGAAAGAAGTGATGTCACCTGAAATGGCAGAGCGGAAAGCAGACAGAGTGTGGTTTAAAATGAAAAGAAGTGCTGTTGGGAACAAAACCAGTAAAAAAAAAAAAAAATTCCTTCCAATCAAATGGCACAGTCATTATAGTTGATTCCAAATAACTACATTCTTGAAAATAGCTAGTAGGGAAGGCAGGCTTTGCCGTGACCGGCCACGAAGATTACCTTGATACACCATGTACTAATACTCAAATAGCACACTGTGCCCCATAAATAGATGAGGTCATTATGCAAGAGCCAAGCGTACAGTCAAACCTCTGTGTGTGTGTGTGTGTGCGCGCGAGTGTGTGTGTGCGTGCACGCGCACACGTGCATGTGTATGTGTGTGTGTTTGTGGACGAAGGGGAAGAACGGGTGGGAGACGAACATGGCCCCGAGCTTAGAGGAGGAGAGCCGTGGAAGAATGACAGAGGAATTGGGCTGTGTGTTACCAGGATGATGGAAGAATTTGACAAGAATCTTAAATCCCCACGAGGAAAATCAGGAGTTGAGTTTTGATCTCAAGCCATAACAAAGGAGACCTGACCCAAAGGAAGACATCATGGCATTCATGTGGCCGTGAGTGGGGACTGGAGGTGAGGGGACAGGAAAGGACACCAATCAGGAGGCGGGCAGAGTCCAGTGCAGGTGGCACTGCCCAGAGCCCACAGTCAGCTTACCTAGAACAGGGACTACAGGAAGGAGAGACTACCCGTACCTCACAGCCACTTGAGGCTGACTGACCTGAAACTTGTTAGGAACCCTGTCTCCAGGGCTCTGCATGAATTTGGGTGAAACTTTGCTTTCATACACCTCAGCAGCCTGATAGTGGCTGGGGGAGAGGGGCCTCTACAGCACTCTGCAGATGGAGGGGCTCTGAGCAAGTCCGTTACTCTTGGCCACTTAATTCCACCGCCAGAAGACGGAAAAGGCTTCTTTTCTAGGCTATTTCATATGGGTCAAGCTGAAATCATCTACAAACCTATAGATTTAATTCAATCTCGGTCACATACAGACGAAAAGGCAGGATTGGACAGGTGTAAGGCCTAGTCCAAGGGCATAGGGCAAAGGAGGCCAGTTGAAGGACCTATTGGGCCACATTAATTGGGCAACTAAGAATCATTTCATGAAGTTTGAAGCCCCAGGGACAGTTTCCTTCCCCTAAGTCCCCCTTTTCACGTCTCTGGCAGGAAAGGTCTCTAGAGGACAACTGTCCTCCCCCCTCCCCAGGCAGGCCCCTGAGCTGGAGGAGGGAGCTTCCACTAAGCCTCCTACAGCAAATAAATTGAGGTGGTTCTCAACAAGAAGAGTTTAGCTAGCCAGTTCTCACACCTACTCACTTTTCAACTCTCCCATTTTTTCTTTAGCGTTCTCTTGTACACTAAGACCAATGTCAAAATAAAAGACACCCAGACCCCCACCAAAAATGATCTTAAAGAAGGCTGCATGTGCTTGGGAGAGATAAGGAAGCAGGCAGGTGTGGGGTCCTGCTGTTAGCAGAGTTACTAACCAGGAGCCCCTGGAAGTGAGGAATCATTAAACACGGCCGGTTTTTCATGTACAACAGCATATATGATGGTTCCAACCACAGCACCGCCTGCTGAATCAGGAAGTTAAGGGAGAGAAGATAAAACAAAAAAAGCCAGAAAGCCCCCAGTAAATCTGTCCTTGTGTATTCCAGTCATAAACAAGAGTTTCCCTTGCTTTTCATGCGGGGCCTGCCGTCACCTTAGCTGTGTTTATCACTTCAGACTAAGTGTCTTGAGGAAGCCAGAGCATCCTTCTGCCTTGACAGCACACGCTGATTAAATCTTCCGCAGGAAAGTTAGGCAAATCAGAAGCTGCCTCCTCTCCAGACTTCCCAACCCGCATCTCTCCTTCCCTTTTCTCATTGCCAGGGAAAATAAATACAGGTGATAACATTTTGCAGCAAGTATCTACTGAAGATGAAGCTGTTTATGTCTGAACTGAAAATTTTCCTACCAGGATGGTGAATTATCCAGTAACAAAAAGAATTGTGAAGCCAGTGAGGCGGTCTCTGTTAATGCAGAAAAAAAAAACAAAGAAAACCAGGGCCGTTGGAGCTGAGAGCATGGAAGAGCTGCATTCTAGTGAGATAGCATGCACACATATGTACACACACACACACACCCTCCCCCCCTTCAGGACAGAAGAAGCAGGGGACTGAGGCTTAGTCTGCAAATTTTGCTGGTGGCAAGAGACTGGAAGATAGGATTGGCAGCTCTCTGCAAACTGATTAATGCCCAGAACTCCAGAATGTATGGTTTAAAAACTAACAGATCAGGAACTGGCCTGCTCTGCTAACAGAAATATATCCCAGTTAGAAATCTGGAGAAACAATTATCTCGGTGGCATATGTGCTGATCTGAGCATTAGAGCTTGTCGTTTTAATCTTCCCTGTTAGGAATATAAAAATCTGCTTAATAAATCACACAGCTCCCTAGACTTCACAAGGAATTCACAGACATAAAAGATCCAGATTTTACAAGTTATCTGCACTGCCAGTTAGCTGCTAAGAGCTACTGCAACGAAAGGACTTGGTCGGAGAGGT